TCCAGGCATAAAGATGACATGAGAGTAAAACCGGAATATTGCTACGGCCGAATGAGAGAGCTGGACCCCTGCTTGCGCAAGAGTAGAAAACCTTGAAGCGAGACGAAAACCTAAAATCTAAAAAGGATTGGTAAATTTGCAGCGATGTACTGCACAGATAATAAAAGATTGATCAGTAGAAGAGAGCTAAAATAGGTCAATTGAAGGAAAGCAAACGTGCGGAACGAAAGTTAACATTAACGTTGCTGGGGACGTCACCACATATTAGCTCAAAGTCCAGCTCCGCGCAGAGATACAAATCAATCTAGAGTGCTAACGGAATGGTACTGAGGTATGCTGATTCAGCACAAGCAAGTGAGAAGACTGGAATCGTACAAGAGCATGTGTCACAGAAGTAGCGGCGAGTAAAGGACAAATGAACAGCTAGTATGGACAGGCTAAGGAGCGGCTGTGCGCAGACCACTTGGGTTATGTATGCTTGACAGAAGGGCACTAAAAATGCCTCTTGATGCAGAGACAGCTAACGTAAGGAGCGCAAGCATACATTCAGTTTGTTAGCTACGTCAGAGCGTACGAGGCTAAAGCGCAGAGGCGCGCAGGTACTCAGATCGTTCTAGTTTGTTAAGGTGAGGTTGCTAGTGTAGACGGTGCCGGAAAACGCCAGTGGGAGAGCCGGACTCCTATGGGAACTGGTGTCACAGACTTATTAGCCAATAATGGATAAATGAACGCCAAGAAAGGACGGGCTAAGGAGCGGCTGTGTGCTGACATGGTGAGCTAAGATCCATGGCTAGAACAAAGCTAAGAAAGGTTAATTGAAGAAAGCGCAGCGAACAGGCGAAATGTAAGTATACATTAGGGTTGCTGAGGACGTCCCAGCACATGCGACTAAAGCACAGAGGCGCGCAGAGTATCAAGTCATGCTATGTTGCTAAGCTAATAGTACCGAGTTGGTGTGAACCCGGAAAAGCTACTCTGAGAGCTGGAGACTTGCATGTATTAAAGTCAAAGCCATGACAAGGGGTAAGAGCTAAATGAGCCTCTAGAAATGAGAGGCCAGCTGGGTGCTATGCGCTAATCTCTTGAGTTATGTATGCATAACAGAAGCGAGCTAAGAAAGGTTTCGTGCCGAAAGGACAGCAAACAAAAGGTGCGCAAGCATAAATCAAGGTTGTTAACTGCGTCAGAGCACGGTAGTCTAAGGCACAGCAGCGCGCAGACACTTAAATCATGCTAGGGTGCTTCAGTAGACTGAACCAGGAAAAGCCAGTGAGAGAGATGGACGCCTGCATGGGCAAGTGTTGAAGACGTCGAAGGGAGCAAGGGAAGACTAAACATCAAGCAAGGAGAGGCGAAGGAGCGGCTGGGCGCTGACCGGAAGAGATAAGGAAGGTCAACAGCAGGGAAATAAAATAGGTTAAAGGAGGAAAGGACAGCAAACGGGAAAAATGCAAGCATACATTGAAATTACTGATGATGTCACATCATATGTGACGGAAGCGCGGCGTCGCGTAGATAGTCAACTTGGGCGTGGGTAATGGTACTGTGGATAGGGCCAGGGAAAGCTAGTACGAGAGCTGGTCGCCTAGCGCCACCATTGACTGCTCATCACTCAAAATGCTTTAACTCTGTTCTTCTGGCTAACTAAATTGAATTAGCTGCCTTGAGAGGCACAATGACTCGCCTCGTACGTACTGACGTTCATGTACCTTTTACTCCCTGTTACGTGAGGAGTTTATGAAAAGGTATTCGTGTAGCTCCGTCCGTTCACTAATCAACATGTCCTTACTTACCTAGATCTCTTAATTTCCATCCTAGCCTTGCATCGCTGCAAGCTCTGCTCAGTTCTCAGATAACCAGTAGGTAACCGCGCTCCTGACTTACTGCCTGGTGGTTGTATGACTACTCTACTAAGGCAATCATATTCAATTTTACAACACAAGTAAAAACTCAGCTGATGATGCGTCGCACAGTGAAGGACAGGACCGGACAGGATCCAGGAAGGAAACAAGCTTCCGCTTAACAGGTGTCTCGTTTCGTGTGCCAATAAGCGAAACAGAGTCCCCAACACTGCGACTTGCTTTGACGTACTTGATTCTATAAGGATGAAAAGCAGAAGTAAGTGCAAGACGACCAACACAATTTCACTAAGTCATGAGAATAGGGGTTGTCAATGACTCTCAAGGAAATTCTGGGAATAGGGTTAGCCAATATCTGTCTAAGCTAGGTTAAATTCCTCTACAGTTTTGCATAACAGTAGAGCAAGAGAAAATTTACTGCAACTGGACACAGCCCGGATTAAAAGGGACCGGCTCTTAACTCCAGCCAAGATCGATGCTGCTTTAATTTCATGCAATTAACCTGTGAGTTTTCTGATGTAGCTAGTTCAAACAGTTCGGTGGGTCTAAGACCAATGAGATCCTTCATGATTTTGCCTGCCGTTATTAAGTGACCACCTAACTTGCGGCTCCTCATTAAAAACAACTCCAAGTTAGCTAACCGATTTTATAGATAATCTACTGTGCTCTTTATCAGTCCAGGAGCAAGTCCTTGCACGTTCACAATAAAAATAATATCGTTCCGCAGGTATGGTGCCCAGGCCTGAACACATATTCCTAATGTGGTCTGACCAAAGCTCTGAACATGGGGAGAATGAGCTCTGGCTAAGTACAACACAAGACTATCCTGAGACGAAATGACGCCTGTCTCGTTTTATTAGCCACATGCCTGCACTGCCCCGGGAGCTTAAAGTCACTCGTCAAGATGATACCTAATTCGCCTGCCCCGGTGACAAGCTGAAGTGTTTGGGGACCCATTAGATTTATGCATAATAAACACTGTCACTTGGGGGTACGATATAAGCGTTGCTGGTGTGTATGTGTAAGATTCGCAGGGGTGACCAATAAGCATGGCAGCAAAATCTCTAGATAACAAAGCATGTCTCCCCTGCTGACAAGCTTCAAGCCAGCAGCAAACATATTGGAGGGGACTACAAGTAGAGGAACCAAGTCATTTATAAACATGAGAAGTAGCAACTCACCGACTACTGACCCCTGGGGAAATCTCATATGATCAGTTCCCGTGTTCGAAGTAACGTCGTCAACCCTTCTTATGTCTTCAACCCGCGCACTTGGCGTTGCCGGGCAGTTGCACCTGGATCTCCGGTTTCCTGGTCCGTCGCAATGCGCAGGTAAATGTGAAGGATACGCACCCTGATCCTTTTCCTATGAACATTGGTGTCAAACAGCGTACTGTCCTAGACCCTGTAACCTTCCGTATCTTCATCAAGGACTTCGCGTTCGAGCTGCAGACGGAATGTTTGATTTATGCAGATGATTTAAAACTTTGGATTGGTGTATCCAGTCTAGAGGATGCAGAGCGCCTGCAAGAAACACCCAACGGGCTCCATTACTGGTCAATAATATGACAGTTACCAAACAACCGGGATAAATATTCCATCCTCCTGATTGGTGATCGTGAACGATTTGGTGTGTACCATTCCGGAGGTTTCTTGACCATAAATGTTGATCAGGAAAGGTACCTCGGAGTGATTATGTCCCCTTAACTCAAAGAAATTGTGAACACCCGGAAAAGGGCTGGCGCTGCCTACAGGACGTTTCATGCCTTACAAATAGCATTCTCCGTCGTACTCCGGAGCTCTTCAGACTTGTTTGCCTTACATGCAGGCTCATTTCTCGAGTGCGGTATGCCAGCGGTTAATCCTCTCACGCGGACCAAATGCGACATACTTGAGAATTTCCAAAGCCGTTGATCTAACTGCGTGCCAGAGCTGCAGTGCCTATCTTATCCTCACCGAGGTCTACGTTTAAACCCTCTGTCTGGACTATCTTCTTTGGCGCAGGGCTTCGAAGTACTTTCTACGTATCGTAAAAGGAGAGCCAGGAAGCGCGTTACAGCAGTGCCTTTATCTAAACATTGAAATCTCGGCACGTGGGCACAGGTGGAAACTGTTCAAGCCGAGGAGACTGCAGGTGTGGTCAGAACTGACTTTATCCAATCGCGTGGCCACCAGCAGGAACCGCCTTCAGTATCTTGTTGGTGATGCGCAGTCCAAGAATGGTTTAATGAAACTGTTGGTTTTCCACCTGCTAAATATGCCTGCATATTGCTGCACAACGAGGCCTAAGACTCAATGGGGAACCCTATTTTCTCAATGACCCCCGCCATACCCGCAATGACTGGGAAGCTCCGGTGCTGACAAAGGACGCTGCTACTCCTCTCTACCAAACATTGTTGCAATGAACCCAGACCCGCATTTCCGACAATAAAATAATGCTAACTAAGCTTTATTTAAAGTTGCGGGCACAAGGATCTATTTCGATACGTCAAAGCAGTTGAACGCGAAGTACCAAATGCAAATACGTTATGGGCACAACAAGGTTTGTTTTAGTATATTAAAATTTGTTTATGATATTTTGGCCCTTTCGAGTTGCATATTATTTACGAAAGGGAAAGCGGTATCAATAGGTAACGCGAAACTGAATATTTGTAGCCCGCGCACGGTACAGCTTGCGCATGTATATATTCCGAGTTTGGGAAATTTTGAAGATAAATTGTAATGTTATTGGCTTTAGATCACTACAAGTCTCTACGTACATGCTTATTTACTTTAGCTGCAAGTAATTTATGGAGCAAATTTTTACTACTTTTACGTTTCGTTGTGTGTATGACGGTGTTTAAAAGAAAAACCATTTTTATAGCATCAGCTTTCTTTCAAGGGTGCCTAAACTTTTGTTTTCAGTCCATCCATGTTGTTTTGTATTTACTTACTTACCTAGTAAAATCGACATCAATAATAATAAATGACAAAGGATTTCTCCTTCTGCTCTCTACAATCCTATGAACCTATGAACCTATAATTCGCTCCTTCTACTCTTAGTCTCCTTAAGAGCGGAACCGCATTTGTACAGGCATCAATCATGCCCAACAACTGTACCGCGCTAGTTACATCAGCCGTTTCCTGTTAATCGGGCGCTCTCATGGCTGCACTTTTTATCGTGATTATAGCCCGGATTCTTTTTATTCGAATTACAAGCAGTCAAGGTTATTATTGCTTTTGTAATACAACTATGCAGTCATCAAAATTAATGCCACAGAGTCAGCTTTACCGACGTTCACGGTCAACTTCAATGCCAAAACTATGCGTTTGCCCGTATTAGCTGATCACATTACACAAGCGGTAAGATATGCTGCTAAGGTTATGTAGCTACAGGAAAATGTGACTTGTTCGCCGATTTTTTCCTCAGCGACTTCTCACACAACCGGTTATTTTGGCTCACTTAACCTTACTCCCAAGATTAACACCGGCTATATACCCTTCCTGTAACTTAATTGAAACAATTTATGTGTTTGTAAGGTGTTTGAGTTACGGAAAACCAATACGGTTCCATTGTCACCTTTCAGGACTCATTAATTCCTCAGGGAATGTGGGGTAACTTTATGATTTTACATTAACAACTTGAATCGTTTACAGATATCTGGAATGTAGGAAACCTCCGGTGGTTTCTGTTGTACCTGATGTGGTGCTTATGCCACAACAATCTACGCCTTTCACTTTAAAACTGCAAGCTATTTTGAGGTAGCTATTTATGAAGTAACTTATTTTCTAAATATCAGTGAACCCACCGAAGATGATGCAGTAGAGGTACTTTGTAATCCTCAGCAGAACAAAGGTGCGCATTTTTATTCAATAATATTACACGCTTCCTTTGCCTTAATCCTTTCCTATGTGCATAATTGAACTGTTATTTAAGTTTAAGGTAAACTTTTTGTTATTTGTGCTACTTTTGTTTACTCATTTTTAAGGAAAGTGTTTTCATGTATTCCATTTCACTTTTGTATTAAACGCCATACATAAAGGTACAATCGTTTTGGTATGGATGCACGTTTTACTATTTTAAAGTTTGGTCATGGTTCAAACATGTGGAATGGAACCGTGACTTAATGATTGCCTTGATTTCGTTACAGAACGCCCACAGTTGCTTAGAACTGATAAAAAGTCAGAATGTTTTAACGTTATTCCATTAAACACCATATTGTTGTGTGCATTTCTAGAACACCGTTTGGAACAATTAAATGAAGCCATCGATTGGCCAAATATATATGCTTACCATTTCTCTGACTTAGTACTGTTTTGCTCGTTACCAGTGTTCGACTTAAGATGATGTTTTGCCTAAGTAGTGCTAACAATAAAACACCTGTAATCAGCGCTCATTTACCTTCAAGCTACGAATGAGTCCTGTTAATTGCCTTAACCGGTGCTTGAAACCATACTTTAAGTCTTTCACCTCAAGTACCTGGACATGTTGCTCGTAGTTTTAAAACTATAGTAATAACAATGTTCTTAAAGACGTCAAGTTTAGCCGTTCATTTGATCCCCGGGTTTGACACTTTGGCTGCAAACGTTTCATCATGATTCTAGTAACGCGCTACCCACGCGTAGCTTGCGTAGACTTAGGACTTACGGGAAACCGCCAGGGCCCTTCAATATTTCCAGCAGTATAAAGCAAGGATGCTCGCTGTCACCTTTCCTCTATAACTTCAGTATTGACGAACTCACGGTTGTCGCGTTCAGTGGACACGACATAGGTGGTGTGGAACTGTTCCTTTGTGAACGACTTCTTGATACGGAGTATGCTGACGATAGAGACCCTCATCTGTGACAGCTCACAAACGTGCCAAACCTCATCTGAGAGATTAGCACTGCATAGCAGTCGGTTATTGCTTTGTTTTGCACCCTCGAAGTGTAGAGCTTAACTCCATGAGTTACAGGGTCCGTCTGCTGCGCTTACTCTTAGTAAGAATCAGCTAGAATTCATTACGTAACTCAACTACATTAAAATTCATATAAGCGTCAGTGAACGTGAAAACATGTCACGAAGCCTATAGTAAAAGTTGGAGGCGCTTTTGCTTACCTTCTCCACCTATGGCGCCGGCGCAACACTACTCTCTCCTTGAAGAGTTGAGTTTACAAAGCAGGCGTTCGTTCAAACCAACTATACCTTGTAAAACCTGGCCCATTAGATATGCAGACAGAAAGAGGGTAATTGCGGACGACCACCGATGCCTTCGTAGTCTGACTCATACTTGGTTGGAACACCATGTGAGCGATGGACGTGTCCGACGCCTCGTATATGTCCCAGAAAGAGGAAATGAACCTCACAGCACCGTTATTTCGCGCACCAGGCTCCGATGGCCGGGCCACGCGCAGAGCATGCCAGAAAACCGACACCTGCGACGTAGGTTGTTTGCGCGACCGGGTTCTGAATGAAAGAAAAGGTAAGAAAGGCAAATGATGACTTTGTCAAGCAATGAATGCAGGCTGGTGACTGAGAAGGAGCTGCGACTGAATGCCTCTTAATGTACATCCAAATCCCTACTACCTATTAATGATGAAATATTCGTCCGTATAGCTTCTAAGTGCTGTATCATGCACAGTCGCTATGCGGGAGGTCGTAGCCACTGGGGTCAACCACGGTCCTCTACACAGTTCGTGGCTAGCGTGACAGTGGAGGAGAACTTGGGTTATATCCTAGTCAACTTTCAGTCATGCAAGTCCGCGGTCGTCAGTTATCGCTTAGCTGCACAGGCGGCTGTCAACCGGAAGCCATGGGGCATGATCTCGGCAGGAAATCGAGGTAGGCACCCAACTAACGAGACCCACAAGGTCGAACCAGCTGTCTGGTGCATTTCCGGACTTGTCGAAGCTAGCTGACAGAGCGGATACTGCGACGAAATACCTCTGAGATTACATCCAAATCCCCACTACACCTAAGATAAATATTTGTTTTATATTTATTGCGTTATCTCAATAAAATATCACATTGATGGTGTTGCTTATTTTTGTGGTTCTTTCGAAATTTGTTTCAATAGTTTGAGTTGGCTTGAGCGTTTTCTTTGGTTATAAATGGGCACAAAACTAACATATAATTGGCAGCACAGTCTTGTTATTTAACTTTGTTGGACAAAGTAGAGTCGAAATTGTGTGAGTTGTACTGAGATTAGAGATTACGTATCTTTAAAGATATAAAATGCTCTTTTGACGAGAGAGCTTCAAAATTATTTTTAGCGTTATTTATTATTTTGTCTTCCTTCAAATCGATATATTTTCTTAACTTTCACTTCAGGAGCCAAAGTTTTAACGGATGCCTTAGTTTTACCCCCGACAACAAGTTCCGCAACGGTAAGACCCGTCAGTTTGAGTCTTATTTTAAACCGCATAGCTAGTGGTTAATATTGTCGCAATTGGGCTCGGAAATCAAATTAAACTCAGTTGCTTTGCTCAATCTTTAAATGGAACCCAGTTTAAAGCAACAAACTCTGTCGGTAAGGTGGTTTTCGTAATTTTCTGCACTTGCCGTAGGGAATAATGTTACTCTACAGGTCGTTGAGAAAACTTTGCTCATAAGCCCGGAGCGTACTTACCTGCATCGTTCAGACTTCAAGGTTTGCTCAAATTTTAGTCATGTGGCTTATAATTAAATATCCTCGTATGTCACTGGTTTATATTTTGACTGCCTCTTCCTCCCACCAAATTTTATATAAAGGATTTCATTCGCTTCAAAAGCAAAGTAACTTGCACCAAATTATTTGTATCTCGAATTGTAGCATTCCATAAAGTTAAATACCTTGCTTTTTATTATGTCTTATCTCCATGCATTGGGGCACAATAGTCGAGGTATATTTCTCAACGTCAGCTAGTATGTAATACTGCGGAGCTCTGTAGATTTATATGCATATTACAACACAACTTTTTTGCAGTATTTGACATTGTCTCCCTTACTGCACTTTCAAACTATATGAAATGTTGTTATGTTGCTAATAGATTTAAATTAAACTGTGGTGCTGGGTATCTGGCCTACCGGCAGTACACTGTGACATGAACATAGAAAAACAGCTGTTTTCTGTAAACAACATTGTATGTGCTATACCATACTGCATATCCTAAGCCATTTGCTGTGATAAACTTTGAGTTAGCACATTTTTCTACTTAATAACTGTGCACTTATGTGCGTCAAAGCAAATCTAAAGGTTTGTCATTAACTTCGCAAATTGTACTTCCAAAACCAACCTTGTCTGCTTCTGTTTATAATTATACGTTACTGTTTGTTACAGTTTCGCTTCTGCTGACCGATAACCAAGGAATTTTAGAGTTAGCTGGTCACTACATTAGAGTTGGCGTCGCACATTATCTTACTTTACTAAATGCTTACACATTTTGAGTAGCCGGCGTTTCTTAACAGCGGTGGGTAAGTAAATCTCTTACTTATTGCGTTTTCCATTGACTAATCACAGCGCATACGTTAATTAAATCTAAGGCAAAAAGGTGTTTTGTGGCCAACGTTCTGTTCGAAAAGTGATTCTAACAAACAGTGATCCTTAGTAGATCATTATTACTTATTGGAAATTACAAAACAATGTAGTAACTATAACTGCTAGGAAAGTGTACTCAATTTGGCAAACAGTTAGGTCAGTACAGTGCTTAGATATAAACCGGCTATTTTTCTCATTTGGATCGGCTGATGTGCAGCTTGCTGCACAGGCTACATTAAACTTAATCTAGTTTCAAACACAAACTTCGCGAATTCCGCCGCTGCTTTCGACACGCGAATACGCAGCTCACTGGGTAGTTGCTTATCGGTCGACATCACACTCCAAAGGTAGCTGAAGCGGGGGGTTGTTTCTAATACTTCAGCACCAATGCTGATTCGCGGCAATATTGAGGGTTGCACCTCCGCTGAACGCGGAAAGAGATAGACAGTTTTGCTTGTGTTGATGGTGAGCCCGAATTTGGCCGCTGTCGAAGCCAGAGCATTAGACATGTGCTGCAACTCATCCGCGCTGTGTGCAAACAACGCACAGTCGTCAGCAAACAGCAATATACGGATAGTTGTCTTACAGACTAGAGTTCTGGCACCGAAACGACGGATGTTCAGCAACCCACCATCAATACGGTGCTCCACACGAACACCGTAAGCACAAGCCGCATCAAAAGCACAGGACAACATTGCATGAAGATAGATATTAAACAGGGCAGGAGCTAAGACACAGCCTTGCTTCACACCAGTGACAATTGCAAAGTCATCTGAGGTCTTTCCACTCAGCTCCACTCTCGCCAGCATGCCACTGTGCAGACATTCAATTAAACTTACAAATTTACGCGGGCAATCAAACTTACCCAACACCAGCCACAATGCCTCGCGGTTCACCATATCAAATGCCTTGGTGAAATCGACAAAAAGGGAGTACAATGGCTGGTGTCGTTCTTTACACTTCACCTGCAACTGACTAGCCGCAAACACCATATCTATAATGCTGCGACCAGAACGGAATCCACACTGATCTTCCGCCACGTTAGGTTCCACAACCTGACTGACGAGGCGATTGATCAGTATTCGGGCAATCATCCTGCCCACACAACTCAGCAAGTTGCTGCCACGATAATTCGTGCAACATTGCTTGCTACCTTTACCCTTGTACAGTGGTAGTACAAGGGCATCCTTCAGCTCAGGAGGCACCTCCTCCTCAATCCATACACGTTGCACCAACTGGTGCAGCGCAGTCACCAACGCGGAGCCGCCGTGTTTCAATACTTCAGGCGAGATCCCGTCGGCCCCGGCACACTTGCCGTTTCGCAGCTCAGAAAGTGCTCTCTGCGTCTCATCCAGTGTCGGCGTGTGCGTCAGACTCGCCTTCACATCGTGCTGCCTCAGATTGTTCAACCTAGGCCAGTCGACCACTGAACGGTTGTTCAGTGGTGTTCAAGAAACGGTCCAAGTGTTTTTGTCAGCTCTGCATTATATCTGCAGTCTGTGGGCATGTAGCGCCTGAGCTACCACCGGGTAGCGTATTCAGCGGCTCCAACATGGGTTCGTGCACTTCAAGAAGTCAAATATTTCCTTGTTGGCGGCGTTCGGCGTGGCATTCCATCTACTTCGCCTTCTCCGTCCACCATGCATTTTTACTGCGACGAAGCTCTCGGGTCAGTCACCGTCGAAGTTTGCGAAACTGACTACTCTTCCCCAAGTCACTGAGGTCTGCCACATGTGCAGCAAATGCTATCTTCTTCTCACACATCAATGCGCCAATCGTCGCATTGTTCTCATCAAAACAATCAGGTCGCTTACAGTCTACCGCCCGCTGGTTTCCTCGGCAGCAGCTGTCAACTGGTCGCGAATGTTGTGCCACAGGTCACCCACTGTGGCTATGCAGTCCACATCACCACACAGGCGTGCAGCCATCGCCTTCTCCAGCTCAATACGTTTCGCCACAGTACCGAGGGAGAGAATGTTAAATTTACGCCGATTCACGGCGGGGGTGCAATAGATAGATTTACGAGAATATATGCACAGTTTGGTCCACACCAATTTTTGACCAGTGCCACACTCAGCTCCACGCAGTACACGTGTCATGCGCACTTCACACATATCACGCTGACGTGCGATGACACAGTCGAGCAGGTGCGTGTGACCATTCCGTGGATGCGTCCAAATTGCTATATCACTCGCACTCAGTGCAAAACGAGTGTTCATGATTGTCAGGCCGTGAGTGACACACAGTGAGAGCAGCCTGTCACCATTCGTATTCGGTGAACCAATGCCATGCAGACCGATAACATCTGTCCACCCCGGTACATCACGCCCACCTCGCGAGTTGAAATCACCCAACAGAAATATTCTGTCAGTCTTCGGCACAGAGCGTATCACGGAGGATAGCTGAGTATAGAATTGATTACGCGTGTCATCAGGATAACACATGGTCGGACCATATTTGCTTATAAAGGTGGCAAACTTACCTCTTCTGAGTCGTAGGCGAACAGTCATGAGTCGCGCGCTGATGCCTGTTGGGTCATCCACGAGCTGGCCATTCAGGCGATCGGATATTGCAAATCCGACCCCATGTTTACGTGGTGTTGAGGCGGCCTTGCCCACCTAGCAGAATGTGTAGCCAGCACCTGCTTCATGCAACCTACCTTGTGCAGCGAGCCGGGTTTCACGCAGCGTCGCAATATCGATATGGTAGCGCTCCAGTTCCATCGTGATCAGTGCAGTGCGTCGCTCGTGGCGCTCACTGGAGTTCCGGTCCAGTAGTGTGTGCACTTTCCAGCACCCGATGCTGAGTGCTTTGCGCGCTGGCATACGATTGCATTAGTGGGCAATCGCACGCGAGGTGGCGGATGTGCTTCGGAGGTTTGCTTGAGGGACTCCACCCGGAGCCTTTGGCTAAATAGCCTGACCCATAATGCAGTGGGTGATTTGGAGGTTTGCTTGAGGGACTCCACCCGAAGCCTTTGGCTCAATAGTGTTACTCACAAGGAGGTGGGGCGCAGTTCCAGCTCGATAATGTGATTTCAGAGACAGATTGGGATCTGCCTGGTGGCCGTCACACCCAGCCTTTGAGGTACTGGAATGATTCTTATGTGTTTTGTGACCGTAGTAGGACACACCTGCGAGCACGGCCAGACGCAGGTGGGTTTTGGCGGGTTTGCACCGATTTGGCCAGGGGCTGCCCGGCTTGCAGCGGGCAGTAGCAAACCAGTGAACACCCGGAGGTGCCCGCCTGCCGTCAGAGACAATGCGTGGCCCTCGTGCTCTACGCCAAGCGAGCTGTGAGCTTATAACCCGTAGACCTGTTGTCTCCTATGGCTAGGTTTTACGGGAAGGGCCATCGACCATTTTCTAACCTCCGAAGAGGATGGACTGGGATACTGGTAGGGCGCTCACACCTGGCAGAACGACTCGGGTGCTCAGCCAAAGCCTTCGACTAAATATACACACGAAAGGCAGCGGGTCTAGCACGTGGTTAGTTCACTGACTCATGCGGATTGATGTCCTGGATCTTAGCAGGGAGAAGGGCGTAACCCAGCTCCCACCCCGCGGTCGCAACGAGGGGGCACCCAGGACATGAGCCAATGGCACAACAGTAGCAGCAGTGGGTAGACAATCTGTCAGGATTCAGCCACCACCAGCCTCACCGAACCATAGGCTCTCCTGACCATGTATATATATATATATATATATATATATATATATATATATATATATATATAATGGTTGGCGGCATCCGGTTCCTGCTTTGCCTGTTACGGCGGCCTCTATAGGACAGCCACCGAACGTCTGCGCGTACCGAGCGTCAATGTGTGGATTACGCCGCACTGCCTACATCTCCACGCACACACCACATATGCAAGGTTAATCTGAAGGAATAAGACTGTGAGTCTTGAGGATGGGAGCCACATTTCATCAACGGAGTTGGCCTCACCATTTCAACATGCGCAACAGCAGCATTCCTGTTTATCTAATTTGAGAATCATGCGTACCACACACGCACAATACGGTGGCCGGGCCGTTGTCCGTTCCACACCTGATGGAATCACCTTTTGAACCTAGCACGGCCAAGAGCGCAGTGCATCCCGTCTCTCCAGCATCGATTCACTGTCTCCTGGA